TCTCTTTGTTGATAAATAACTCTAATTTTATTCGTAAGTTATTACTTTCTGTATTCATATTTCTTAGCTCTTCAGAAAGCTTCATTAATCTGCGTAATACGATAACGCATAAACAGTATAGAATAAAGACAACTGACAAAATTTGTGCAAACGAATAAGTGTATATGACTGCAATGCTAACGCTGCAAACTAACGCTTCTGTATCTGATCCATTTTGTCGTTTTATTTCCGAATACACAACTAACTGAGAGAAAACAGAAATAGTTAAGAGTACTGCAAAAAGCATAATAAGTGAATAAAGTTGGAAAATTTCGATTTTATCAATTACTTTACATTCTTCTTTGTAACAACTTTGAATGCAGTGCAAAGATATTTTTCTTCTTTTTAAAATACTAAACTGTATAGCAGCATACGTGATAACTAATGTATTTACTATAGTTCCTTCCCAAGCATACTCTTTTAAGTAATGAATAATGCGCAGACAATAACAGTTTATATTAAATATCCAATAAACGTAAACAACAACCACCGTCCATAATGACACTTCAATGAAATCAAAATATATTTTAAATAGATTTTTGCCCTTCAATTTCAAGTCCCTTCTTTTCTGCTGTACGCAATGACATAAAATAACGAAATCGAGACCAAATACTTTTGCTGAATTCAAAAGTGGATCCAATATAACACGTACACATCTGAATTGTTGATCGAGATAATTCATGTTCGTATTATATGAAAAATATTACTGTACGTTTGCTGTTTGCTTTTGATCATTTTCTATGAATTGTGTAATGCAATACGTTTTACTTCTATTTCGTAATCTGTTTCGTATCGATTGTCACTGTAGATGTAATCGTAACTCATCGATCTATTCCTATTCAACAGTGCTACGAAGAGAGAAAATATCGATAGGAAGTGAAGTAAATTAAACATTCATAGATAAAGAAAATGTACACAATCGAAAATAATTCTGTACAAACTATTTTCGTCGTTTTAATTAATTTGGTTTTAATTTATAATTTTTAAATAAACTCAATTTTATAATCATTGATTATAGGAATATCTTGTGAACAAAATTTTAGCTTAGTCATGAAAATTTCATATTTAATAGAATTGTTAATACATTACAATTTAAATGTTTATTAAATATGTTAATTCCATTTAGTATAAACGACAAAACAGCAATCGCGAAATCTATCAGGCATGTGTAAAGAAAAACTGATGAAGGGTGTAACACTCAAAATGGTATTCTGTAACATATAAAGTCTGTTTTTGATTAAATTTAGTTGCCTTACAGTCTTTTATTCTACTTTATTACAAATTGTGTACGTGGACATAACTTATTAATAGGACTTTATATACTAGTGTATTGGTTATCGACACAAGGATGAGTTCATAATCAGAAAAAAAATCAATAATTCTTTATTTTATCATACGTAGTAGTTTTTTTGTACACATATCATACATGTTTCAGGCTAACACGCCCCTCTTCAGCATTATTACCACCACAACATTCTAAAATTCCATAAGTAAGTGAACTTAAAATACAGTAACATAGATAACAATGTATTTTTCGAGAATAAAACATTAAAAGACTTACAGAAATTTCGTATTCAAATATCATGTATGACCAAAGCATATTTCGAATAATTATTAGAACAAAATTTCATAAACTGTAAGGCATATGAAAGGAAAAATGTAGAAAACGTAATTAACGTTAATAAGCGATATATATCGTCGACTTCTCTATTGCCGTCAGGACTGCCGAGCAGTAACAATCAACGTCATGTGAGAGCAGTTGAGTCAGAGATAGATTCATCCTTTACAAACAACACAACCCGTTTATTAGATAATTTACTTACAAAAAGTTAATAGTCACGAAGGGTTGAAGTCCTTGTATACTTCGGCGCGTAGTATTCAAAGAAGAAGAAGAAAGTCCGATGACGAAGGTGGTTTCCTTTCGCTGACTGGATGTTGCATTCTAAGACAAGTTGTCGAACTGGAAACGATGTCTAATGAATGCAGATCAAAATTTCCGAAGTTTCTCTCAATGTAGGTCTGTAACTTTCAGAGGATACATCAGCTAAGGACGAAGGTGGAACCTTGGCAGAAGCATCCCGGTCGAAGACATAGCCTCGCAGAATGCCACGGCAAAGAACCAAGTATCCTTGTGGCCTGGGTTTAAATATCTTTTCGTCTCGCAAATCGTCACTTTATTGGTTATTAAATTAATTAATCCTCTTTTCAGGTCCCAGATTGGTCTTTCTCTGTTACCACGTAAAATTAGATCAGATCGGTTACCGAGAAAGACGATCGTTTATGAATACAATTTGTAAGGCCGCCAATTTTAGGGGGCAATACGTTAATTGCGCGTCAGGAAAACCTAGGGTCAAACCGTATGTGGGTGGTGGCGACAAAGATGACAAGTATCTTACACGAAAACAGTTTATTTTGACATTAGATTAACTTACACAATGGGAATAACAAGAATTAATATGCTGGCTGTCTGATGTTCTACTTTGGATATGCCCTGGGGCTTGAACGAGGTAGAGACTGGTGATCTGTGAATGATGTCCAGTAAATCTTGCGTGCAATGTCTTCCCTCCTTCCTCCTGGGATGCGACCGAGCTCGAATGCCGTGACGTCCCGGTTAGAAAGAGTCTGGTGCTCGGCCTTTGTCCTTGAGACCCGGGAGTTTTATAGGATTTCCCCCCAAATCTCATCCTCTTGATTGGTCCCGTTCACTCTCTCCCTTACCGCAATTAGTCACTCTTTTTGTTTCTAGGCGAAACCCAAGACCGATCCAAGTCGGGAAAAAGTCGGAGAGATGAGAATGGCCTTTTAACGTTCGCGCTCGTATTTTACTCCGTTATGGCCCTTTTCTCTGTCATCCTTGAACCTAAACAGTCCACAAGATGTTCTTGTGGCCATTTATCCCCTACCACGTTCTTACTTAACAGATGTCTGTTTTGTTCTTAGATCCCCCCTTTTCCCGCTTGCTTCGACCCCACATTTGTTCGCGCGCATCTCAACAAAGCTCTCTCTCTATCGACATTCCCCCCTGTTGTTTATCGTCGCATCGCGTTTGTTTTACAATTCGAAAAAGTTTTCGTCTCATCTGGGTTCTGTCATTAACACACCCCCTCGACCCAATTCGATCTTCGAAACCTTCCGACTTAAAAGTCTCGTAATTAGTCGTATTTCCGGCGCGCTTTTCACAACCCTCACAAATTCGACTTCATCTTTCGTTCAGTGTTTGAAGAACCTTGTACAGTACCTTAACTACCATTTTGGTTTTGTTCGTCTTGTCTTATAAAGAATTTAATTTACTAATTTTTCTCCCTTTTATTGCGTGATTGTAATATTAAAATAATTTTATTTTTCTCCTTTTCATTTATAATTTAATTTTCTTGATTTTAATTTAGCATGATGATCAAGATTTGTTTTTGTTTTGATATATGGCTAAAAGAATGTTTTTCATCTTAGCCCAGGACCTCACACATTTTGCTGTATTAAAAACAAAGTAAACAAAAAATATTATTTTTCTAAAATTACAAAGTTAGTATTATTTGTGTGTAAACTTACATTAAACGTTGTTCATATGAAAAAAATAAATTAACCGTTTCTTAATGCGTTTTTCTATTTATACTAATGATGCAGCGATTATTCAGTTACTATTCGGCCAAATGCAAAATACCTAAAAACAGAAGTAAGAGATAACAAAAACACAATAAAAGTGATCAAAATGCTTAATTTACTAATTCTGAACATATATTTCAAGTTAAAAAAAAAGAAATTTTTTGCTTATTCATGTAAAAGATAAAAAAAAGTAATATAACTATGTTATTTTCTTAAGAAATCAAAGTTGGTAATAAATCAAATGTAAACTACCTACTTATTATGTATTTTAGTTTTAGTCATCTATATACTCGTATATAAAACAAGAAGTCCTGATAACATAATTAAGGCAGAGCCTTAACTGCCGGTGCTACAAACTTAAAAATTTCAGGATGTGGTCTTTTTTGTAAAGTTTAGATGTTCTAAGAAAAGATTACACGAAATTCAGCCCTGAAGGGGTGAAAAAGGATAAAAAGTTTGTATGAAAATCTATACTGCAGAGAGATGAGGTAGATGATGTCAAATGTTTAATGTCAGAGAAGTTGTTGCAAAAACCACGACAGTTCCATTGGATTATTTTATAATCCATTATGTGTTTGAGGCAGCATTCTTAGAAAAAGTGTCCCTCTTCAGTTTAACTGATGATTTTCCTTTTAGAAAAGATGTTGGTTAGGTCACCTCCATATTAGTCTCTTCATCAGAGATATCAGAGAACTCACTCATGGACTGAGCCTCTGAATTTTTAGATATACAGAGAGCTGCTTTCACTCTGTTTGTTTAGTGGGTTCTAACTAACCTTTTTAGAACCCAGGTTTCTTGTAATTACCCGTGTTTTAGGCAGGGGTGTTTTTCCTTTTGTGATCTTTTCTGGTGTTTGTGTAGACGGGAGTATTAAACATTTTGCATGGCGAGTAAGAAAAATCACTTTGGGAGACAAAGATATCGGTTTGAACCCCACATGTCTTTGTGGATTTCAACACAGAAGCAAATGTTTTCTGTTTCACTGCTGTGCTTTGAGTGACCATGCACCGAACCTCCGGATATGGTATGTTGTTAATAGTTTTTACTCGCTAGATCTCTTTCTCTCTCTGCCATGCTAGGCATTTTCGAGAGTAGGCGAGATGGGCATCGTTGCAATTCACACAGCATGGAGTAGTGGTACACTCAGTACTGTCGTGACCTTCTGTTCCACACTGTGCGCATATGCTTTTCCCTCGACATGATGTTTGTGAATGTCCAAATCGCTGGCATTTAAAACAACGCAGCAGATTTGGAACATAAGGGCAAACTGGGCAGCGCAGATAACCTGCTGTAATAACAGATGGCAAAGTCAGTTTATTAAATGTCAAAATAAGATGTTTGGTGGAAATCAACTTGCCATCTCAACGAATGGAAATGCGTCGGACAGCAGTGACTTTTTGATCTGAAAGGCCAATCTGAATATCTGATTCATCTTCACATATCAGATCGATCTCAGATATTACCCCACGTGATGAGTTTTGGCTCGCATGTGGAATGACAGTGACTTCCATTTCTCCTAGAATCTTTGTTTCCAGAAGTTTTGCCGATTGTTGTGGGGAAGCTGTTTCCACCAGTAAATCTCCTGATCTTAATTTTTGTATTTTTTTCAACTGTCCAATGGTAGATTCAAACAATTTTTGAATCAAGAAAGGAGAAGCTTTAGCAAAGGGTTTTCCTCCGGTTGCGTGCACTACTAAGTACACTGGATTAGTGGACATTTTTTCGTTTGTTTTTGTTGTTGGTGCACAAGAACGTTTTGAATTTTTTGAATCCATAATTAGGGAAAAAATTCAGCTCCTAGTGACCCCACCCACCATGGAGCCCAGCAAGGAGATGCCGTCACATGGAGTACTTCCATAGACCGTCACACCAGGGTTTCCCATAAGCTATACCCTCACAATGCAGTCAAGAAGAGCACATCTAGACTGACGTGTCTGCCCGGTCTGCATCGATCGGTTGACTCCAAGCCGAGGTCAAGAATGACTCAACGACCAGCCGATTGACTCAAATGAAGCCTGATTTGAGCCTCCCGTTTATCCGAAGCAAAAGCCAAAGCAGTGTGTTGGGGACGATATGTGGCCCCTCAACTACCAGGATCCCCCTTTCCGGCATACGGGACACCACGCACGGCAAACACTTGGGTGGGTGTTTAGATCCCAGGGATGGTTAAGAAAAGTTACTAAACCATCTCTGGGAGGTCCCCTCACCACGGACAGTAATCCAAATCGAGGGGCCTTTTAAACAATAGCTAGTCTGTTAGCGCTGGTCAGCAATAGACCAAATTCAATATGAACGTTTGTTTCTTGAAAATTTGATCTCGATTTAAATACAGTATTTATTTTTAATATTACCAATATGTCATCGAAAATAAAANCCCCTGGCCTAAATACTTCATTGCAATATATCAAAGATTGTTGTATAGATATTATATTGTATTTTTATTGATATTAAAGTAAAATATTAAAATTTATTCATTTTTTGAAGTTTCTGGTTACTTTGAGTTGCCATCATCAACATACATTTTATCTTACATTGGTTGTATCCATGATTTCAGTGGTTTTATTTAGTACATGGCAGTGGCTGAGTGCTATAACCACTAAAATCATGAATTCGTGCCTTCCCAACAGGCTACGTTAAAATTTCCGAGTATGTTTATGTTCGTAAAACCTAAATATTTGGAAGATTTTAACATATATTTTTTCCCGTAACCCGACATATATTATATATATGTCGAGTTACGGTAAATAAATAAACCAAACTAATCTGTTTCCTGTCATAATAGTGCTGAAATGACATTAACATTATATTAAAGGCAACTGTACTGTACCTAAACATATGAATATTCTCTTAAAATCAAAGAAAGTTGTAAAGTCGGTAGGTTTTGATATACTGGTAAATGTTATCAAAATATATAAGTGTAATTTTTCAACCTATACATAAAACTACCGTAAGTTTTTAAATGAGTACGATTATTGGAAAAACAAAAGAACAAGTTTTTGAACTTTTCATGAGACGACGAAAATATAATGAAGACATTTTTCGATTTCTGTGCTAGAAAAGGCTCAAGTTCATAGGGCAATTCTTGTCAGATACGTTGTTGGCACAAAGATATATGTTGCATGAAATGACCAGAGAGATTCGCATACCTACATTTCACCGAATATTTTTATAATGTTCTAGAGCAGTTCTGGATACTTCAGGCAGGTTCACGTTGACTTATTCTTAGAAATTTTGTTATCTCGCTAACCATGCACATTTTTCTGCAAATAATGGCTGGATAAACAAAAATTTACTATTATTGCTTTGATGAAAAACATTAAAACATAAAGAGTACATAAAATCACAAGTACATTTAAATCGCTCAACTCGTCATCATCGTTAAAAATCCTACCTATCAACTGACATTTTAATTTATGGGAACATCACTAACAAAATTCACTTCGTTTTGTGCCATGGAAATCTTTAACATAATTTTATGAAAAAGTATTGTATAAAACACTGGACTGTAAAAATGTATTTCGAATAAAGCAACTTGAGATATTATCAATCATTACGTGTACACAAATATAAGGTTATAATTGTAAACATATTACATTCAAGAACTTTTATCTGAAAATGTTGCTTAACTTCTCATTTTGCTGATTTAATTAACGACAATTCGATTCGGCTGTGTCATAATTACCTAAAAAATAATAGTTCACAATGGCACTTGAAGAAGGTGTGTTCGATTAATTTCCTAACCACATATATCTAATAATTAAGATACTCTATTACATTATTGTTTTCTTAACTATATTTATTGTTCAATAAACAATGTATTAAATAAAACAAAGAATTTTAGAATTGCAAATAATACTTACCTTCAGTTTAAATTCCAAAGATAGATCTGCCGCAGAAAGTTTGTAAATCGACACAAAATCGTCATATAACTGTTAAAAAATCAGATTCGAAAATTTTTTATTAATCTACAATATCTTCTATTTTATAACGTTGCATCCGTTTAAGCATTAAAAATTTTTAAAGTACAATTACAAGAAGTACAGTAGACCCCCTATAACACTGTAGATAATTCCGTGTTATATGAATTCCATGTTGTATGAGTTACAAATATGTGTGTCGGGCTGTGAATGGCTCATGTATTTGTAAAATCTAAATGACTCATACAACATGGAATTCATATAAAACGGAATTATCTACAGTGTTATAGGGGGGTCTACTGTATAATAACAAACTCAATAAAAACACAATATAAAATAGATTAAGAATAATTGAAAATAACTATAAATATTACGACACATACAATCCCATTATTATCTATATCTATATATATATATATAGAAATGGACGTGTATGTCCCTATATTTCACTTTTTCGCCAAAACTACACATCGCACGTGAATAGTGTTTGTATGTGGTAGTAGCCCCAAGTCTCCATTCGTGTATAGGGGTGGTTGCGTCTCGATTGCTAGCTATAAGAGTGCGGGAGATATGGGCTTGAAAGTGGTTGACTTCGAAGATGTTAACAGTGGAAGTGTTAACAGTGGAAGTGTCAACAATAGAAGTGTTAAAAATGGAAGTGTCAACAATAGAAGTGTCAACAATAGAAGTGTTAAGAATAGAATTGTTAACAGTGGAAGTGTTGAGTAACAAAGGAAGTGTTAATATAAAGCGGTATGCAAGATTTACAGGCGGTTTTTTGCGTTTTTGCGGGAAATCGAACATATTTTTAGACTCGTGTAAAAATTCTCTAATTAGTCTGGAAACGGGGGACCTAATTCTTGCATTCTGTGAAAACGGCTAAGATTGGCTATAATGTAATTATCTTAATCTTAACTATCGTTACTTTTTAAAAACCCAGCGAAGCGGGTCCTTGCAGCTAGATTCTAGATTACTTAGAAAAACAGTCTTTTATATATA